ACAAACTCAGAGAAATAGAGTAGTTGCTATTAAACTGAGAACTTACCCATGATTGCCTACTTAGTGCTATCAGATGCTGCAATTATATCTAGATAATCAGTCACAGACAACTAACAATAGTATTTCAGATTCTGAAATGCTGTATTTGATGGTAAATACTCACTGGTAATGAGTAAAATACCCTTTTACAGTTGTCTGTGGGGATGGGTGTATGAGCTGAACATGTGAGAGCAGCACGTTACATGTGTGTGATCATCAGAACTGAACTGCTTAAATTTTTGCTGAGTTCAAACAACTGCACCAAGCACCTTCAGTCATAGCTCAACTTAGACCAGAACCAAAATGAAGTAGCTTAAGCTCTTTGACTGTTACATTAACTTCCAAACTAATGTAGTACCACTTTGTTCTTTGATTTCTCTAGTTTCAGATGAAGTCTTTTATCCTGTATGAAATGGAGTGGGGGTGGGGAAATAAATACAATGTAGGTAAAACAAGATTTTATATGTGGACTTCAGGATGTTAAACTTTGCTTTTAGTGTTCACAGAACTGCTACAAGGTTTTCAAACTCCAGTGGTAAAGACACCCAGAGACACGTTTTCCGGGTCAAGGAACTTTGGGTTTAGTTACCTGAATTTGTCACTGTGGGCTTCTTACAAAGAAATGTTCTGATACACTTGAGGAAATCTGTTTTGAATAAATGTGCCTCAATGTTGAGGAAGGATTTCATTGTGTATTCTCCTGGCCAGAGGAGCATGGTCACTGTAAAGTTTCTGTGCATCCTCAATTCTTTATTGCCCAAAATAGAGAGTTTTAAAATAGTTTTGCCAAAGAGCAGGCTTTTTTTCTGTTTACTGGCATGGGAAAGGATATTCCTGTAAATCATCCAGTGGAATAATCAGCTGTCTCTTGTAGGAGTTACTTCAGTAGTATCAAAATACTGTATTGATATCAGTGTTAATTCTCACTCAAGTAGGGATAGCAATTCTTACGTCTATATTGTGTGATTTTTATTTTTTTTTATAGTCTGCAATCTGCCTTGTGTTTGGGGCAAAAGGCTGGAAAGCAGAATTTTAAAAGTTCTTCTACTTCCTTTTCCCATTCTTCCTCCCAATGGCTACTTTTACAATGTACGATGCTAAGACACTAATAGAACGCACAACAGCATCTAAAGTTTCATAAGTACCAAAAAAATATGCTTTCCCAACTGAGAAATATATTTCTTGACATTTCAAAATGTATTGCTGTGAGCAGCAGTCAAAGAACAAAATATAGCTGCAGAGGGCAAAGTTCTGAAAGAATAGAATATGGCTGAGGAAAATTTACAAGGCAGGCAGAATTTTTTTAGGCAAGATGCTGCTGGTTTTTTTGGAAACGGCAGTGAGAGCTGTCAACATCCAGGAAATGCTCAAAACAGACAAAATGTGTGACTTATTTCAATTTCTGTGTGATCTTCTGTGTGAAGATAGACACATGAGAGTTATTTTTAAAAGCATGTGAATCTCCTCAGAGAGCCTTGTTAAAGAATGTATTCCATAACCTAGACTCTTACTCCAGGATGTTTTGAGGAAAAGTAAATATCTTTTCTTAGATAAGTATTTCCTGAATGGAAGATGTCTACAGGTTAAATTCTGATGGACAAGTAAAACAATTTTGGCATCAACTGATAGAGTCCAGCAGGGTTGGAGGACAGCATCAGAGAAGAAATAAGACTCTCAGAGGAGAGGAAAATATAACTGGTGACTACTGAGGAAGAACAAGGAAGAGGAAAGTGAAGGTGTAGAACAAGAGAAGGAAGCAAAATGCCTGAAAAGAAACACACTGAAGTAGTAACAGCGCACAGAGGGTAGAAGAAATGAAGCAGAAACAAAAACATCACTGAGTTGAAAACAAGATGGATAACAGGAAAGAAAATTAATTTTAAAATGTCCTAAAAGTGGTGCTTTTTTCTTTCATGTTGCGTGAAAAGCACCTGCTGCTGTGAACTTCAGAGTGGAATACATGTGGCATAGTTCTTGATACTTGAATTAAACTGAGATTACTATGTATGCATGTAGAGGCCTAAGTAGGTGTTGTTCTACACTATGTGCTTTGACAGTAATGGTTATATGACTTTCAAACTCGGATGGTACCAGGCAACAGCTGTGTAATTTCAGCGCTCTTGATCAGGCATGCATATGAAGTTCGCTGTAGAACAAGAACCAACTCATGATACAGCAGAGGAGCCTTCTCTGCCATTCAACGTTTCTCTAATAGCTGAATGTAGAAGATGAGAAAAGCTCACAGGTGCTTGGGGCAATCAAACCTCATACAAGCCATTTTAGGTGACATTTAAGTTGCAAACTAAAAGAGACCCGACTACTGTGAGTTGTGAAAAAAGCTCTTACCGCCACCACCACACAGTTCCCGTTCCTTGTGAGCTATAGCATCCCTGGTGTATTTCATGTTCTTTCTACTACAGACATAAGTATGGTTATTTGCATTTTTACATGAAATTTCTATCAATCCCTGAGTGATTAAAGTTCATTGGAAGTAAAGCTGTACAATTTGATTGTCAGTTTCAAACCCTTAGATATTTATGAGCTTTTAAAAAGAATTCTATATCTTTGCATTGGTTTATTTTGAACATATTGCTTGTTACTTAAAGGCTAAGCTCTACAAAAATCTGTGGCCTGGTTTTACTGAAGTTTTATCAAAATTCTACTGACTTTAATGGTATAAGGCGGCAAAGTTTAAAATGGATTTTCATTCACACAGTCCTTTAGCGTGGACCTTGTTTGTTGGTTTCCCCTCTTCTTTCATTTAAAAGGCAGTGGCTTTTACCTAGTCCTTGAAATAATACACAGTGTTTCTTACATCATAACTAGTAGTTTCTTGTTACTTTGGGTCACGAGACAAAAGCAGCATCTATATTCTAAAGAGGTTTATTGAACTGACTTGCCAGAACAGCTGTAACACAGCTTGACCTTTTCTTTGTCAGCTATCCCTTTTCTCTGTTACTATGCTTCTTGAATATCAAAGAAAAAGGTGTAAGGCTGCTTTGTCTCCCATGCTTTGTGTGGTCATGTGAATGTTGCTTCCTCCAACTTAACTATGCTAACATTTGATGAAGTAAAACTTCAGTAAAGAAGAACTTACAGTACTGTAAAAGCACTGTATATAGATAGGACTATCAATTCAGCCAGCATGTATGTTTGAATAAAACGGGATTATTTAGTGGTAATTAGAAGCTTTCTTGTACTATCACAAAACAGTAATCAAGTAAAACTTGGACTGATGGATCCTACAGCTTGGATAAAGTATAAGTTAATATTCGTACATGAGCTGGCAGTGCGTGCTCGCAGCCCAGAAAGCCAACCATGTCTTGGGCTGCATCAAAAGAAGTGTGGCCAGCAGGTCAAAGGAGGTGATTCTGCCCCTCTGCTCTGGTGAGACCCCACCTGGAGTCCTGCATCCAGCTCTGGAGTCCTCAGTACAGGAAAGACATGGACCTGTTGGAGTGGGTCCAGAGGAGGGCCACAAAAATGATCAGAGGGGTGGAACACCTCTCCTATGAGGAAAGGCTGAGAGAGCTGGGCTGTTCCAGCCTGGAGAAAAGGCGGCTGGGGGAGACCTTGTTACAGCCTTTCAGTACTTAAAGGGGGCTTAAAAGAAAGATGGGGACAGACTTTTTAATAGAGCCTGTAGCAATAGGACAAGGGGTAATGGCTTTAAACCAAAAGAGGGGAGATTCAGACTAGATATAAGGAGGAAATTTTTTATGATGGGGGTGGTGAAACACTGGAGTGGGTTGCCCAGAGAGGTGGTAGATGCCCCATCCCTGGAAACGTTCAAGGTCAGGTTGGATGAGGCTCTGAGCAACCTGATCCAGTTGAAGATGTCCCTGCTCATTGCAGGGGGGTTGGACTAGATGACCTTTAAAGGTCCCTTCCAACCCAAACTATTCTATGTTTTTAGAAAGAAAAATACAGTTGTTCAGTAATATCTTAGAAATAAATAATAAAAGCTTGATAGCCTTTAAACTTTTAGTCTATTGTAATCAAATTGTACTTAATTGACAATAGGCTATTGGAAATCTCAGTATTAGAGATTTGCTGTTGTATAACTCATTATAATTGATGAACGGATCCAATTTTGCTGGAGAAGTGGCTAAGCAATGTTATCTGCCAGAGTTACTTGAATTGCTTTAAATCTATCTGCCCTTGTATTGTATTGTATTATAGCTTTTTTTTTTGTAGTCCTTAACCTTGTTTGAAATCCACTGTCATTCTAATATGAGTGTAGTCTTTGAAACTTTTATGCAAGCGGTTTCAAATCTTCATTAAATTTTTTTACTGTACATGGATGGTGTTACCCAAGATATCCGAAAAGCATAAGTTTGAAGACTTGTTTCTGTATCACAAGTTGAATTTTAATTCAGTTCATGAAACACACTGAGCATCTAACTAATAGGGTCAAGATGAAACTAAAGAGAAAATTTTTACAGCTTTTCCTTTAGTTAAATATTCAACACCATAGGTATTAATATTATGTTTAATAATTAAAACTTGATTCCAATGTCTGTAAGCGTTTATGCAAAAGAAGCACCATCTTGTTGTATTGAGATATGCTGTCCATATGGTACTAGCAAAGATCGTAGGCAATTTGGGTAGAATTGCTCACACAAGCAAGGTCACAAGCGTGTTTACCTAATGAACATGGAAATAAATTGGTATATGTGTATGGGACTGGGGATGTAGAGTGTATCTAATGTGGACCCACCTGTGGGGCCAAACCAATGAATGTAAAAGAAAGGGAAGAGCCTGAAATAGTAGTAATAAGAGAAGCTGAGTTCTTAAGACAGAAAGGTGCTTTAGGAAGTATCTAATCTCAGTAATGGAGGCAAAACATTTTGTTTGTTAAAATAACTCTTATTGAGAAAGAATCTATTGTGGATTAGGTTTGTCTTTCCCCCCCGCCAAACTAATAAGTCTTTCTTCTCTACATTTCCCTTCCTTTGTAGGGATTGGATAAAGGTTACTTTCACGTGAGAGGGAAAATGCTTTCAGAAAGTAATGATTCAGCAACATATTTTCCTGTACCTTATGACCTGCCACCAGAACAGTATGGAAGCAAAGGTAAGGTGTGACTACAGAAGAAAAGTAGGTGTATTATATATGGAGCAAACTAATTTGAGTCACTCTGAGTCATTTGAACACTGCTATGTTCCAAAGCTTTATTTTAACATTTTTGTGGTATGACTGCATTTGAGATGATACCAGTCCCACATTCTGCTTGCAATTTCAAAGAAAGCAACTGTAAAGTCTTTTGGTTCTATTTTTTTCGTTGTTGTTGCTTAAGTTTTGGATCAACAACCTAAGTATTATTTTTTTATTCCTCTTCTGGGATTCTTGTATATATTAGGAAAATAGATATTCTTTATGGAATCAAAATGTTTTTCTGCAGAACTAATGGGGAGAGGAGTGTTCAAAGAGGAATGTGTGGAAAAGAACAACTGTGATGAAAAAACAATTCTCTGGAAGTGGGGTGTGAAAGAAATGCCATAGAGCAAATCTGAAAGAGCTGCTGCAAATCAGAAGAAAGAAGAGTTGCTTTTGGTCCATTCTATATTTCACAGTTTCAGGCTTCATTTTCTTGAAGATCTGTGCTGGAATCCTCCTTGGAGGGGTGGAGGGGGATATATATTTCATAACACTTAAAGAGATTTACAAAATCTCAACCTTCTCAGCTTCTAAGACTATCTCTAGAATATGCAAATCAGGAAAGTGATAAGTAAGTGCTGCTATGGGGTGATGATGGCTCGAAAACCTAAAAATACATTGAGGATAATGATGTTGATGCGCAACCTGCAATATTCAGGAAGAGTAAATTTTTATATTTTTGTTCTTAAAACTAATGTCAAAAGATTGTAACTAACTTCTTTTTTTAAGAAGCCATGATCTAAAAAAGATGTCATCTACAACAGAGCTTGAAATAACAGAGAGTAACAAAGAGTTCAGGAAAGATAGTGTTTATAGCAATTCAAATCTTTCTGTAGATTTTTGAACTAACAAACGATGTGGGGAGAAAGAATGTTTAAAAGCAAAGAAGTAAATAGACTTCCAGAGTCTTACATAGTAAATAAAAGTAAAGACACATCATTTCAGGGTGACTGAAGTTCCCCAGCAGGATCAGAGCCTGCGAGCATGATGCTTCCTGTAGCTGAAGTAAGACTACTTTGGCAGCATCCTCTTGATCAGGCGGCCTGTAGTAAACACCAACCATGAGGTTTCCTTTGTTGGCTTGACCTCTGATTTTTCCCCCATAAGCTCTCAACCTGTTCACCACTGTTTTTCAAACGCAGCTCTGTGCAGTTAATCCACTGTTTTTTTTTACATAGAGGGCAAACCCCCCCCACTTTCTTTCTTGCCTGTCCCTTCTGAACAGTTTATAGCCATCGATTGCAGTGCTCCACTCATGTGATTCATCCCAGCAAGTTTCAGTGATATCGATTAGATCACAGCTTTCTAGCTGCACAGTGGCTTCCAGCTCCTGTTTGTTATCCATGCTGTGTGCATTGGTATAGAGGCATGTCAGCTGGGCTGTTGACAGTGTCACCTTTTTAGAGGAGCAAGCCCTAATTCCTTTGCAACATTTCACAGCTGTTTCCCTATTGGTTCCTAATGCATCAGCAGCCCCTGGCTCTTCTGTGTTGCTCAAAACTCCATCCCCTTCCGCCACTGAGTCTAGATTAAAGCCCTGCTTACAAGTTTGGCGAGCTTGTTGGCAAAGAGGCTCTTGCCCCACTTGGTGAGGTGAATCCCACCAGCTCCCAACAAACCTTACTTCTCACAGGTAGATCCACGATCATAGAAGCCAAAACCTTGAGTATCGCCCCCACCACACAACCAGGCATTCACCTGTTCAATATGATGCATGTTACTTTTGTAAGTTGCAAAGATGATTTTTCTGCTTCAAGCGCTTACTGCTTACCTAAAAGAATTCTTAAATGGTATTTTAGTTTTCCCAGAGAAAAAAATCTGGCTTAACGTAGAAATGATAATACTACCTATTATACTGTTTTATTTAGTATAAAACACACTGTCCATTTAAGTACTGTTAATGTTGTTTTGGGGAGTGGCGGCAGGGGTTGTGTCTGGGTTAGTAGCTAACTAAAGGGTAAGAATATACTACAACCAACTGTTGTGCTCTGGGACGTGTGTGCACTGTCTGCTTATTAACTAATGCTCAAACTGATGGTTTTTGGAAGGTTTTTCTAAAAGGTCATACTTAAATTTTTGGAAATTTTAAAGATTAAAAATTAGAATCTGTGTGTATTCTCAAATGCGTTACATATATTATCTTCCTTGTGCAAAAATGTAGTTGTATAATTAATATTGTTTTAATTCATGCATTTAACCTACTGTGTCAGTGAGTTGTATGCATATTTCAACTAAATGTAAAAATTTTTTTTCCAAATAACTCTTTTTACTTTTCTCAAGGAAAGCTTATTTCTGTAGAGAACTCGTTTGTCTGTAGTTCAGCTTTTGGGTCTTAGCTTTCTCCCATGATATGAACAGATGTCAGAATTCAAGTTGTCTAGGCTTTGGCAATGGAAGCAAAGTCAGCTGCCTGTGCCTTTTTACATCTCTTTCCTGAATATTCTGTTTCAGTTCCTCAGCCTCCCGGTGGAAAAGATGTTTAAAGAATTCCCATGTTATGGGATGGATTCATAAAATAATCTGTTCCTTAACAATACAGTTATCAACTCCCAAAGTCTCTGGAGAGTGATATAAATAGATTTATTTTAATGAAGTCTTGAGAAGCAGAAATGCAAGTAATTATCCTTTCCCTAAAGAAACCATATTGACTGATCCCTATAAATGAAGGGAAAAAGGCTCTGGGGGATTTTCCACGAACTCAGATTCTCTAACTGTGGGAAAACAAAGTACATGTCACTTTCATACAATCAGAAAAATCCTAATACAAGCAGGAGGGAGGAGAAGCGGCAGGAATAGTGAGCAGATGGTCAGGAGCAGGACCATACATTTGCCATGTAAAGTTCTAAGTAGAAGATAGGTATACCAAAATACATTGTTTTTTCCTGTACTTCTGCAAATTCGAATCTTGGATCAGGCATGCTTAATGTTACAGAATTATATTATTATATAATGTAACAAAGTGAAACAAAAATAGTTCCTTAGTTTGTGGAAATAATTTAATTGCAGAGATTCTTTGTCATTCTGTCACAATGGCTTTCTGTCATATTAATTGGTGTTTATCAGATGAGACTGGACTTCCAGCGTGAAAACTGTTACAGTGAAGTAAATGCATCTTGAAAAGCGATAAAATGCATCTCAGGACATACAATGATAAACTCATTGGTAAATGATGTAAATAATCTGTCTAGTTTCAGCTATAATAATTCATGAGGTTGATTTGCAGTCTTTTAAAGTCCATTAAGTTCAATAAGAATGAAATAATTTAGTCCCTGTCCTACTTTTCTCTCACCCCATTTAACAGGGAGGAAAAAAAATGCAGAAGACTTGTCCACCTTTGCCTGCTTTGCCTCATTAGTCAGTGGGTTTCATTCTAAAACTCAAGTTTAGGCAAAACAGAAAAATAGGATCTCTTGGAGAAACAATCATGAAGACTTTCTTCTTCCTCTTCTTCCAAAGATTTCTAAAGATTATAAGTTGAGATCATGGTGAGACAGATAACTTTTTGGTTTTGCACTGTTTTTCTCTCCTAGAGAGATGGATTATCCTTCACTGAAATGTAATCATAGACTAAGCTGTAGTCACTGAAGGATGTATTGATGCGCTTTAAGATGTTGCTGGTAGGGTAATTATGATATATCACCTCTGTGACACATAACATATTTAGAATTTTCCCATTGCTTTCATTTAGCTTTCAGAGCCACGTTTTATAATACATGGACAGATAAACTCCATCTGCATGTGCCAACCAGAGTCATTTGATTTTCCTGAAGGGAACAAAGAATGAAATTTAACTGGGTCTCAAACCATAGCTGGTAGCAGCATAGTCACTTCAAGTTGAGATGAGGAGTTTATAAGATTTCTTCTGTGAGAGAAATCGTACCAGAAATATTTTCAGGTCAAGTAGCTCATTTTAACTACATAGGATGATTTAAAAAAAAAATGAAAAACAAAACCCAAAACAAACAAACAAACAAAAAGCCACCAACAAATGACACTGTAATGCTTGAAAAAAATATTTCTGGACCTAAAAATTGTCAGAAAGTAATGATTATGTGATTGATTAGCTCAATGAATCAGTAAATCTATGGTTTACATGTATTGTAAACCATATTGTTGTTGTATTATAGTAAGCTTCAGTATTTTGGGCTACTTCATATACTGCTTTTCCTAGTGAGTTGCACTTAACTTTCTAATTACATTTAAGTGAGATTAGATTTCTGCTTGATTGGCTCTGTTTTCTGCGGTTTTAGGGAGACCTCAGCAGGTGAAACATTACTGAAACATTTCTCTGCATTGTTACTCTGCCAAATTTCAGATTTATTAATCTCATGCACTTGTTACAGAACTCTCTTAGAATGCTACTGAAAAGAGGATGAGCTAAAAATATATCTATCAGCAGTTCTTTGAGTTGTGACTGGGTTACAAGGTAGGAAGTTATATAAGCTTTTTCTGAGCTCTTAGTTCAAAATGCTCTGGAACTGCTTAAACCCTCTGGAAGAGAACCCCGTAAAGTAGGGGGGTAAGTAATTTCTGATAAACAAGTTATTTCTCATTCAGTTTTCTCCTCAGTGTATGTATTTAAATCAAGGAAAGAAACTGGCTGTTCAGTTGACTAATAGTGTACAGAAAATATATGTATGTACAAGAAAATAAGATAGGTTCCAGCTCAGTTCAGATTAATCTAAAGTTAGAGTGAAACTACATATTACTCTATATGCCAGTTATATGAATTACATTCGTCATTGGTTATTTTGCTCTTTGTTGAAGATTTCTTTCCTGAGCCATTCTAACAATTTGTAAAAAAAGTATTAAAATGTATTTCATTATTTTCCAGCAGGAAAATCTATTTTACCCTTGGTAACTGGGGGCTAAAGCTGTCAAATCTCATGCTATGAGAGGCTGGAAGAATGGTGGGC